ACTAGGATTACTTTGGCCTTTACTATCCACATTCTCTCAAGTTCCTCCTTTAGCCCTGGTACTTCTCCAGCTTCTCATACTCCTTCTTCCTTATGTTGTGCTATTTGGCACTGGTACATCTATCGCTACTGCTGTCTTCTGGTATTTATCTTTTAACCCAACCCTGTCTAACCCCTTCCCAATATCTGCCACCTTAGCTATCTGTCAATAGTATATCCCATGCAGAGTCTTGTTTTGCCCTGCTTGAACTTCCTCTCAAGTCTGCTACTGCCTCAGATGTCCTCATAGCTGTTGTTCTTTGGATGTCACTTCATTTATGTACTCCTAAATGCTGTAGTTTCATCCAGGACAGTGGCTTTGACACTCACCAAACATTTGGTGTCCTCCTTTGGCCAACTCATTATACCGGCAGGATATCTGGTAACTGGTAGGGCATACATGTTGATGGTATGGATCATGTTCTTCCCATTGAGCTGGCTCTTCAGGGCCTTTCTTATCCTTTGGTGGTACAGACAAGTACCATACAAGATGTTGCTGTCTTGCTTGTCTCTTCATCATGGGATACCAAGGTACTTATATATGGTCTGTAATCCACTATGTGGCCCACTTGTAGTTTCACCCCATCAGTCTCGATTGCCTACTCTCTCTTGACTACCATCTGGCCACACATCTCCAATCCACATGACATCTCACTGTAGATCTCTGTTAACTGGATTAGAAATTCAATGTCTCATTCGCTCTTAGCATTCGGATTGGTATCATTCATGTAGAGGAGGTAATTCTACTCTTGAACCCATATCCATATCCAGTCCTTCTGATTATCTAGCTGACAGAAGTTTCCATGTTATGGGAAGGCAGGTTATTGGCTGGTAGTTGGATGGAGCTATTCCATTGTGGGAGTCTTTCATGATCAAAACTGTTCTTCCTTGTGGTAGCCAGTCTGGGTAGGAGCTAGTTGCTAGCAACTGATTCATCTGTACTGCTAAACATTAATGCATTGTTGTTATTTCTTTAGCTAGTAGGTATGCATCATACCTGGGCCAGGTGTACAGGTAGTCCTTGACTTACAACAATTCATTTAGTGACTATTCAAAGTTACAACAGCCCTGAAAAAAATGACTTATAACTGTTTTCACACTTCTGACCATTGCAGCATCCTCATGGTCATGTGATTAAAAATTCAGATGCTTGACTACTGACTCATGTTTATGATAGTTGCATGTGATTCCCTTTTGCAACTTTCTAAGAAGCAAAATCAATGGGGAAGCCAGATTCACTTAACAACCATATTATTAATTTAACGCCTGGAGTGATTTATTTAAAAATGGTGGCAAGAAAGATCATAAAATGGGGCAAAGCTCACTTAACAAATCTCTCATTTACCAGCTTCGGGTTCCATTGTGATCATAAGTTGAGGACTACCTGTGCTTAGTCACTATTGGATGTTTGTTACTGTGATAATAACTGGTTCCTGTTCTGGGAGGTTGTTGTGGTGTGCTCTCACATCCTGCAGCCACTTTGCACTGGTGTTATGTGTCTTCTCTTTCTCCTATATATTCTTTCAGTACTGTTCAGTTCCAATTATGGTGGCTGTGTTGTTACTATGTTGTTGCCCTGCTGTTGGATGATTCTTTGGAGAACAGGACATTTATTTCTTGGCCTCTGTTTCTTTAGTGTATTTTCTTAGCCTGGTAGCCAGTGCTATGAGCCTTTGTTCCTCTTGATTGTGTAGCCAAACATCTCCAGGATTACAGCAGTGCAATGGTTTCAGTTATGGTGGTAGTAGGCATAGCTGTGAAGGCTCTCTTGGCACCTTTTGGTATATTATCTGATGGTACTTCTCTACGAGCCTTGGTAACTGGTCTTGAGGGTTGACTATAGGTAGTTTGTCCATCATCTTAAGACTCACATGAGCTGTTGTGCTCTGTAATGGAGGGGTGTGGCAGTGATGTTCCAGCTTCAGGTGTTGGCTGCATATTCAGGTGTCTTTCCAGGTATTCTTGCATCTGGGATTTAATGTGTAGATGGTCTTTCTCAAGCATCTTCTTCACAATTTTGAAGCATTAGGTAACAAGCAGTTTCTCAGTTAGTGTGGATGCAAATCTTCCATCCATCCATAGTTCTTTCATACATATCATATATATCTTCTCATTAGGAGTACTATTGTAGTAGAGTTCAATCAATTCCAGGTTCTCTTGCTCATCCATGTATGCTTTATTCCAGTAGAATAAAATCCTAATTCCCTAATATCTGACATAGACCTTATTACTCTGGGCCATGTCCGAGCTAGTATGATTCTTCTGCTTCATGTCACTTTCACATTGGAGGTAAACAGATGAAACATTAGGGGATATTTGCCCAAGGAACTCTACTGCTATGGTAGGTATGTAATTAGTTTGGTGTTTGCATCCTGTTCAAATACAGTAGTTTGCCCTGACAGTGTTGGTGGGGATGTAGTTTTCTCCTTGGTAGTTCCTTGATCAGGATATTACTCTGAAATACTCTAATCAATGAACTATCAAGGAGAAAACCATAACCCCATCCACACTGGCATTCTTGGGAAGGCACAAGACTGCCTTATTTAATTGCATGTAGTCAATGGTGTTTTACAGTACTCATTATGAGACTGGAGAATTTGTATTTCTAGAACTGACAGTAACATTCATTAGTGAGATGCTATAGGAAGAAAAGATTGCTTTGTTTTATGCTTCCATAGGTTCTGGGATATGTTCCTTTATTCTACAGTGATAAACTGACAATTATTCTGAATACATTATACTAGGAGCACTGTCTAATAAATTTACAGTCCCTGCCTTAATTAAACATCAACACAAAGAAAGAAAAATTGTTCAGAATTTGTTCATTTGTTCAAGCAAATGAAAATTAAACAAAAGAACAATGGCACATAAAAGCCAGAATAAAAATAGAAAATCTGCACAAATATGTCTAATACCCTTACTTACTGAGCATTTAACATTTATTTGATTTAAAATTGTTACTGGTATTCATAACATAAAATAATCTGTAGTCACAATCTCATTATGGACATTGAAATAAGATGCATCATTAGTTCTGTAAGATTTTGCAAAGTGTAAGCCTTAGAATGATAGCATTTTAATAATGGAATAAGAAATTGATTACTGAATTTAGATTTGCTAAATGTACTACAGGCTAAATGGATTCTTAATTCCTATTAAAGTGAAACACTGAGTTCTCAGAATTACAAACTTTGGATGTTCCTGGATGGGGTTGGAATAAGGAAATGAAACCACAGAATATATATATATGTTGTTTATTCAAGATACAGCTCTATATTTCCACATCTTGAAATTACAGTTATAAAAAACCCTCCAACAGGATTGTCGCATAACTGTCCTATCCAGTTTATTCCCTTTCCCAACAGTGATTAGCCAGATATAGTAACTTAGGCAGTTTCACCACCAGGGCACAATATGCCACTTATAATTATTGCTAATAAAAGTGTTCCTTGGAATTGGCAGTTTTTGAAGAGTGCTTGGATTCCTTCATATTTTAATCTGTTTATTGGCTGGTGCCTTCTCAGAATTTGCCTGTACTCTGAACCAAGGTGGCGCAGCAATTAGACTGCAGTACTGCAGGCCACTTTAGCTGACTGTGTCCAGCAGGTCAGCGGTTCAAATCTCACCGGCTCAAGGTTGACTCAGCCTTCCATCCTTCTGAGGTAGGTAAAATGAGGACCCAGATTGTTGGGGGCAATGTAAATATATATATATACATTGCTTACTGGTGTACACCGCTTAGAGAGTGCTTGCACTTAAAGCGGTATATAAGTCTCATAAATAAATAAACTAAGATAATAACTCTAAACTTTACTCAAGTGAATCAATAAAACACTATCTAGGCTCATTGAAAGTTTTAATCATATTTGAAGTAGATAATTAAGTATTGGATTCTGAGTTTTGGAACATGTATGGTCCAGCATATTGATACTACAGCTGAATCTCCTTTTGCCTTAACTAAACTATAGCATAGATAAGAGAGTTACAGAATCTTGGCATGTCATAGATCATGGCTTCAGTTGTGACTTGTCACTTATATTCTGTACTGATATAATGAATCAGCACAGAATGAAGAAGAATAATTTTGATCGATTAGGAGAAGCAAAGAGCTGATCATACATTAGACAGTTGCCTCAGAACCCTCAGAGTCAGTTGGCAGGCTCAACGGGCTTCTGTACATAATAACTCCATCTGATCTATGAATTAATAATTAAGAAGCAGCAGGTAGTTCAAAATGTTTCTTTCTTCTGCTAAATGTCTTCTTGATTATATGGCTCATGAGTAATACTTGTTGAACTGCAGCACAGTTCTTAGTAGTTGTAGTGTTAGCTCTTCCAGCAAAGTTCTGGCTGATTTTGAAGAGCTGAAGAATAAGTGTCATAGCACATATTAAACCATCTAAATTTAATAGCATTAACCTGTGAGTTTGTAGAAATTGCTCAACCTCAATTCCATCAGTCGCACATGATCTCTAAGAATTACTGTCTGCTAACATAGGGAGGGTTGTGAGTTACTCTTCTTACATTGGAACAATGAGGGATATTACTGTTACATGGACAGCTGTCTTGATGCAAGTCTCATCTCCTGAAAATGTGGAATAAGCTGCAAGATTTAAAATGTTTTAATTAAAAAAACATGAAATATAAATATATATCCATGCCACCATATTTCCATAAGAGGTGTGGACTTCTGTCAATGAAAGCTTCAAGCAGCAACCTGACAGTTGTTTACTGATACTTCAGTTTGGATTCCTGCACTGAAAAATGCATTGGACATAAAGGTTTAAATGAACTCTAAGTAGAGTAACAGCTTATTTTGTAATTGAAAGATCAAGCTGTTAAAGATACTGCACCTTTTCCAACACTATATCTGTTATTATTTGATGAAATAGTTGCATCATTTAGGCCTGTATTTAAAGGAACAACAATTGCACAGAAATAAACAGAAAAATGACATACTTACAGAAATATCATCACTAAAGTCTATTTCATCCAAATCTAGGTACTCAGGAGCTTCCATTATTCTGCTATGCACATTTTCATTGGATTAGCTGAATACTGAAGTTCTGTTTCAAAAGAGAAAAAGATAAAATTAAAACAATGCACTTAAAAGTAGACATGATAGTTGATATCTTCATTGCTCAGTTTGCAAAAAACTGTACACTTATCATGATGCTTGGTAAATATTCTCAATAAATTTTCAGTAGAGGCTTATCTATATTTTGAAAATTCTGCATAAAGATGGTCTACGTACAGAGTATCCCTGGGGAATTGTAGTTACCAGCACCAGCTGTAGAAGAGCTCCTTAGAGTTTCAGCCATCTCCCTTTTTAAAAGAAAACATATCTCAGATAAATTAGAGATTGGAGATATGAACTTAATTATATTTATTAACTATTAGAAAAATAAAATCATCTCAAGACTAAGTGGAAATAGTGGTTTTAGTTTTGTAACTTCCATTTTTAGTGAGATCTCTAAATTTTATTATTTAATATCAATAAATCATTTTATTATTTGAAACAGCTGAGTTTCAGTGTAGATTTAGGAAGATCCTTTCAAATTTTAGGAACAGGAATATTGAGCGAAAGTCTGTGGAGATTCTCAATCATCCAGGTCATAGTTATTTTTTTCTTCAAAAGGCAACTGGATTGTTTTTTCCTTCAGGAAGAAGAAGAAAATATTTTGCTTCTCACCCAAGAAACTTCATTGGTTTATGAACTGCTCATGTTCATGTTCAACTGTTCATCCAAGAAGCTTCATAAGTTTAGAACTGATGAGGCTTCTTGGATGAGAAGCAAAACATTTTTTTCTTCTTCCTCAAGAAAGAAACAATCCAGGTTGCCTTTTGAAGAAAAAAGCACCTTTGAGGACTATGGAGCATTCTAGAAAAGCTTAGAGTAATGAATCAGCTAAGGATTAAGCAGGTTATGCTATGTATTTTATATGCCTTATTTCCGGTAGAAACACTATATTGAGTGGGGAGTCATGGCTAAAGTAGGACTTTTACTAGCTGCAGGGGGTGCTAAGATTTTATAAACAAAACTACCAAGAACGTGCATGAGTGTATGTATTCATTTGTTCATTCAGTAAATGGTGCTATCTGAAAGTTGCTCTATGTTAAATGTGGAAAGCATCTGTTGAGTCCTTGGCGCAAAGCAGACACGAGAAGCAGTTGGAGTTCTCAGTTTTCTTTATTCTGCGTTCAGCTTACAAGTAGATGGCTTTCCTTGAGCTTCCCAAATGCTCGCAGCCTCTTATATAGGCAACTCCCAGGTAAATGTGTTACTTTTCCCGCGCCAGCACCCGCGCATGCGCACGGCGCTGGCGACAGCCTGTCTGGTCCCGGGCAGCCTTGCACCTGCCCGGGACTGCCTGCAAACGCCCGAGCCGTTTGCAAGGCTCGGGACATAACACCCCTTTCCCCCGGGCTGAAACTACTACCAACATATAATCATTTGTTCTATACAGCGTTCCGCTCCCCAGTGCTTCCACTGTTTGCTGGCTTTTGCCTTGCCAGCAATGTTATATAATCCTCTAGGTACTTAGGAGATTTCTTTGCTCTCTGTGACCTTCTCAGCTCTGGTTTATTAGCAGGAGTTCCCTGACTGGAGGGAGATGTGAGCCTGTTCTCCTTATTTTGTCTTGGTGCCTTCCAAGGGCTGTGCCCTGATGCCTGGCCTGCTTGCTCGCCCACCGGGCTCGTCAGGCCAGGGCTTCTGTCACTTTGTGACCTGGTTGACCTGCCTAGCTGTAGACCCTCGGGCCCCCTGAAGTGATAGCCACTGCTGGGCGTCTCTGTTGAACCTCCTAGGTCCGTCCAAGACCTGTCAGGAGGCTGTCCATTCCCTGAACCCCGTTCTGTGTCCGGGCTTGTGTGGGTTCCTGTACTTTCCCAAAACTCAGTTATTCCCTGATTTGGGCTAGAGGTGTTGTAGTCGGGACTTGGTTCCTCGACCACCTCCCTGTATGTTTGACCCCCTGTAGGATTTGGGGTAAGGTCAGGCCAACCTTGGGGATTGTGTGCCAGCTCTCTTGCGGGGAATGATTTGTTGGGATGCCCCCGGGTATCCTCCGTGACTGGAGTGCTGTGTGATATGTGTGGAAAGTGAGTATGCCCCTGGGGTGACTCCCTGGCTGGAGTAGGCGTGGATGCCTGGTAGTTGGGTAGGCTCATAGAATTCTTGTTCGGAGCTCTCGCGGAACCCTGGAATGGGCCGTTTGTGGCTCCATCAATGGAGATGGGCAGCAGCTCGTGCCCTTCCCTTTGCTCCAAAGGGTCCCCCTCCCCCCTGGAAAAGACCCAGGAGTCTCAGCTGGAAGATGCCGCCTAGGGCGGAATTGGTCGATGTGCCTGCGCAGGACACGACCGTTGTCCAGAGCTACCTCGTAGGATAGAGGACCCGTGACCCTGGAGACAGAAGCGGGGACCCATGTATGACCAGGCCCGTAATTGCGAGTCCAGACCGGGGCACCCTCAAGTAGTTGTCTAGGTGCCCTAGGATGTGAGGTAGATGAAGGCAATCTGTCCGGATGCAACCGGTCAAGTTTAGTAGTAAGTTGACGCCCCCAACGAAGTTCAGCTGGACTTCTCCCTGTAGAAGTGGACGGTGTGGTGCGATAAGAAAGGAGAAAGTCAGCCAACCTGTGATGCCAGTCCCCGTAGGTGAGTCTTTTCAAGGCGTCCTTTGTGATGCGCACCATGCGTTCAGCCATACCGTTGGTGGACGGGTGGAAAGGCGCAGACGTGGCATGACGAATCATGTTAGACTGTAAAAAAGCTTGGAATTCGGAGGAAGTGAATTGAGGGCCGTTGTCGGACACAATGACATCTGGCAGCCCGTGTGCAGCAAAAATCCCCCTCAGTACCTGAATAGTCTTTGCAGTGATGGTGGATGAGACAGGTACAACCTCAAGCCATTTCGAGTGGCTGTCAACAAGGACCAAGAAGAACTGGCCCTGAAAGGGCCCAGCGTAGTCAATGTGCACCCTAGACCATGGGGACTGTGTTTCCTCCCATCTGTGCACGGGAGCTTGGGGCATCTCTGGGCGAGATCGTTGGCACAGGTGGCATGCATGCACCTTAGCCTCAATATTTTTATCTAAACCAGGCCACCATAAGTGGCTGCGTGCAAGAGCCTTCATACGAACAATGCCAGGATGACCCTCGTGGAGGGATTCCAAGACCCTAGTCCTCATTGAGGTGGGAATGACAACTCTGTTTCCCCAAAGCAAACAACCCTGAGAAAGGGACAGCTCGTTCCTTTTGGACCAGAAACTCTGAAACTCAGGACTAGGGCAGTCTCAGGCCAACCAGACAAAACCCAGGAACGGACACGTGAAAGTGTGTGATCTGTACCTGTTTCAGCGGCAACATCCCTGGCACTAAGAGGGAGCTCGGGCAAGGCTTGGATTGATAGAATGTTGACAGCTGGCGCAGGGTCAGCTTCCACTGTTGGCAGAGGCAGTCTACTGAGGCCATCAGCATGGCCCATATCTTTCCCAGGCTTGTGGAGTAAAGAAAAATCATATGCAGACAAAAAAATAGACCACCTAAGCATTCTAGGGGAAATGATTTGGGGAGTCTGCTTACGTGTGGTAAACAGTCCCAGCAGAGGCTTATGGTCAGTGAAGACCGTGAACTGCCTGCCATATAGAAAATCATGGAATTTTTTAATTCCCGCAACAACAGCCAGAGCCTCCCTGTCTATCTGAGCGTAGTTGCGCTCGGCAGAAGACAATGTTCTTGAATAATATGCAACAGGAACCTGAGTTCCATCAGACCTGAGGTGGCTCAGGACAGCCCCAACCCCGTAAGGGGACGCATCACACGCGATGCACACAGGAAGAGACTCGTTGAAATGTGCAAGTACACTGTTAGAAGTGAGCAAGGCCTTGACTTCGTTAAAGCAGGCCTCATGCGTCTGTGACCACCGCCACACTGCTTGCTTGTCTAGTAGCCTGTGAAGAGGCTCAGCTACACTAGCTTTATGTGGAAGAAAAGAATTGTAGAAATTCAGGAGACCCAGGAAGGCCTGAAGTTCGGCCTTGGACTTTGGCCTAGGTGCTTCTAAAATGGCAGTTAGTTTGGATTCAGCAGGGTGAATTCCAGCAGCATCAATTTTGAATCCCAGAAATTCAGTAGAAGGCACCCCAATTTTGCATTTGTCTTTTTTGAGCTTGAGGCCTGTTTTCCTGAAGCTTAACAGAACAGCCCTTAGCCTTTCAGCTAGAATGTGTGTGGAGTCTCCTGCAATTAAGACATCAAAGTAGGGGCAAACCCCCGGTATGCCCCGCAGTGTGTTTTCCATTACGCTTTGGAAAATCCCAGGAGCGACATTCACTCCAAACTGCAGCCTTTTTACCTTAAAGGCTCCCCTGTGGGTCACAATAGTCTGAGCTATAGCAGCATCATCATCAACAGGCAGCTGTTGATACGCTTGAGCTAGGTCAAGCTTTGCAAAAACGCGCCCCCCCTTGAGGGAGGCCAGAATATGACTGACCACAGGAACAGGATAGGCATGTTGCTGCAATGCCTTATTCAGAGTGCATTTGTAGTCAGCACAAATGCGAATGTCCCCATTTGCCTTTAGAGGCGTGACAATGGGGGTCTCCCAAGGACTGAATCAACAGGTTCTAGGATTCCCTGTTGAATCAGTTTGTCTAACTCAGTGTCAATTTTACTCTTTAAAGCAAAAGGGACCCTTCTTGCTGTAATTCTAATGGGAGTGACAGTGGGGTCTAGCTTTAAGGACACAGGGGGTCCTTTGAATGTGCCCAGCTGGGGGCTGAAAACATCTGCAAATTCTTTGCAGACTTCCTGTAGGTCGAGTGTTTGTAAGCTGTTGAGTCCTGTGACGTGTATCCCCAGGGCCTCAAACCAATCGAGTCCTATGAGACTCGTTCGTTCACCCCCTACTACTAATACGTCTAGTGGACCTTCAAAACTCTTGTATTGCACGTTAAGGGTGGCCTCCCCCTTAACACACACTCTTGAATTTTGAAAATCTGTTAACACAATGTCAGAAGGCCTTAACTTGGCCTTGAGTTCCACTACCGGAACAAATCTT